TGAACAGTGCAAACCGGTTTTCAACGAATCCTAAAAAAATATGATTATGAGAAAATGAGAAAAAAAAATATGATTATGAGAAAAAAATAGTATGATTATGAGAAAAAATCACCTGTTTCATGACACGTGAATCGCTATCTTCGGCCGGGTAGCTGGTGACATAATTGATTATATCAACACAGGTTAGGCCAACAACCAGAATTTGCTTGCTCATCAGCTCTGAAAATTGTCGTGGAAAAATTTCAACAACGATTTGGGTAAGCGAAAAAAATTTATGCGAAAATTAATCCTGTTGCAGTGTTGAGTTAAGACGTATATGACTCCATGGACCGAAACGTCTGATCTCATTCTTGCCTACTTTCCCGCTTTCTGTATTCAACATATCTTCGAACTTTGGCAATCAAGGTCAACCTGGATGCTACAGTCGGCTTACATAGGACATAAAGAATAAAATTACAACCTGGCAAAGGTACAAGCTAAGGAAAATCGCGTGAAATAACAATATTTTCACCTCTTTTTTTGCTTATCAAAACGGGCTCCGCAAATTAATTTTTCTTTTTTTTTGATCAATTATTGTTTATTGTCGCATTTTTTTCACGCCATTCATGCAACTGGCAATTTCTCCAATCTTCTCCAGCTTTTTGCAACTTTCATTCACATAATTGCATAGAGTCGTTCAAGCGGATCCTTTCGGAACTGTATGGAAGCTGTAAATCAAGTTCTGAGAAAATTATGTGAAAAATGAATCACGTAATGACAAAAAAAAGCCATGGGAAACGTGCAATTTTTTAAAAAAAAACGTTAAAGATGCAGCACTGAACAGGAATGTATGTGACTTAATGGACCGAAACATTCCTATTCAGGTTTTTTAAACCGATTTATCTCACTCACCTTCCATTTATTCCTTTCTTTTAAACCCTTACTTTTTACATAAACACACATCATCTAAAATTAAAATTACATCAAAGATAGTCTCATCCCCTTCCCTCACGGACCTCGTCAAACGCTTATTTTAAGGCGTGAAATTTTTACAGTGCAGGAAAAACCGGCCAAATTTCAAGAAGGGTATTCCAGGAAGGCATGCTGTGGAAGCAACTACTAAAACTCGGCTTGGCTCGGCCCAGCTTGGCTTCGTGAAGGTCAAGTAATTGGATGGTGAGGTTTAGGAAAGGAACAAGGGCCACTGGGCGATAATTTCGATCTTAACAGGGAATAAAAAGAGGTGACAATTACTGATCGGAAGGAGCTGA